GAAACCACTTGTCTCTATGAAAAACAAACATTAGAAGCCGTAATCATAGCTTTGTTCTCTGCAAAATCCAGAGAGACAAAAAAAAAAACTCCATGCTTTGCTACTTTGGTGAGTGTTTGTGAGATGGGAGGTTGCTTTCAACAAACTATAATGCCAAACACAACAAACTGGCATGAAAAACAGTGTTTTTAGAACTCCAGTATGCCTTCAGACCCACGCAGCATTTTACATCTGAATTACAGATGCCTCAAGTGGAAATATTAACGTAAGCATTATTTGTAATCTCTAAAGTCTCTGAAAATCATACACAACTGAACAGATGAAGGCAGATTGTTTGTAGCAGTGTCCTGGGGCGTAAGAAGAAACCCAGTTCTCTATCTGCTGTGAATATTTAACAAATGCTGTAGGGATCAAAAGCTTACTTCAATTACTCCTGAACTTGGCAATGCTTGTCATAATAGTTGCTAATCCCTTTCTCTTTAAAAATAAGCAGTGCCTTTTGTGCGCAGATTCCTCGGGCTTTATGCCGACCACAGCTTTATGAATAAATCATAAGTTCTTGTCACAGGTGAGAACTGATGTAGTAAGCAACCCTTAGTAGTCATTTCAGAATTCAGATGGTTGAGGAGCAGATTAAATGTGAGGCAAGCTCCTCCTGTAAAGTACCAATTTCTCCATATAGATGGAAACAAACCAGTGTAAAAGTTTGTAAGACAGCAATAGGATAGAAGAATAGAGTAGAGCTGGAAGACCTTGGAAGTCTTCTATTCCAACCCCCTGCTCAAGCAGGAGAACTTATATCATTTCAGATAAGTGATTATCTAGTCCCATGATGGCGGACCTATGGCACACAGGTGGCACGCGGAGACATATCTGTGGGCACGCGAACGTTGCCCTAGCTCAGTTCCAGCGCACATGCGCGTGCCGGCCAGCTGATTTTGGGGCATTCCAGGCCCACTGGAAGTCTCCAGGCCTTTGATCCTTTTAGTTGCTCTTCTCTGCACTTTTTCCAAAGTCTCAACATTTTTTTTGTAATATGGTGACCAAAATTGGTTGCAGTATTCCAGGTGTGGTCTTATTAGAGTTTTATAAAGTGGTTTAGTATTGATGAATTCTATATTCAACATTGAACTGTAACCCCGTAATTATCAAGTATTAATAAATACTTAGTTATTAATAAAGTTAATAATTAATAATAATTAATAAAATTATTAATAAATGAATAAGGTTGACTCAGCCTTCCATCCTTTCAAAGGTAGGTGAAATGAGGACCCAGATTGTGGGGGCAATAAGCTGACTTTGTATAAATATACAAAAGTATGAAGGCTATTGCTTAACGCATTGTAAGCCACCCTGAGTCTCCGGAGAAGGGCGGCATATAAATTAAAGCAAAAAAAATAAAAAATAAAGATTAAAGCCAGCTGAATCAATAGAGCAGGATGAAGTAAGGCTGAAATGTTGCATTTCTATTTAATTCATTGTAGGATCGGGCTCTTCAGAGCAAAATAACTGATTTGGGTCTTGGAGAACCTTAAAGCATCCATAGAACCACTTCGTGGGGGGACGACTCCAAATGGGGTTAATGAAGCCAGGCAGGCAAGGCTGAGCCAAAATAAGCTGTCTACCTTTGCTACAGACCAATAATTCTCAACTTCAACAGCTTTAAGATCGTGTGGACTGAAGTCCACACATCTTAAAGTTGAGCAACACTGCTATAGACAAAAGACATTCCATATTTTAGAGCAGTGTTTCTCAACCTTGGTAGTTTGAAGATGTGTGGACTTCCACTCCCAGAATTCCCCAGCCAGCATAGTAAGAATTTGCTTGCCAAGGTTGAAAAACCTTGCGGTTTAGTGTAATGTACTCCATTCCCTGGTGATTAATCTTTATGGATTCTCCAAAGCCTCTAAAGCATTCTGTACCTCATACTTTCCTGGACTTTGACTCCTGGTCCCCGCAGGCAGTGACCATGTTGGCCGAGGTTATGAGTCTGTAGAGATTCTCAGTCATCCAGGTCATGGTTGTCCCAAAGGTGCTTTTTCAGGAGGCCACTGGACTTTTTTTTTGTTTGTTTTTTTCTTTTGAAGACCTTTCGCTTCTCATCTGAAGAAGCTTCATGGACGAGAAGCTAAACATGGGACTGAGGTTATGAGGTTGGAATATCTGGAAGTTACCAGATTGAAGAAACTCAGTTTGTAACTTTTCCCCCCCTTCTTCTCAAGCCTTGATGGAAATGGTAGTTTTGTTTCTAGGCTTCATTGGCAGGATCCAAGTGGATGAACCATGCCAAGTTTAGAAGCAAATCAGACCACCCAAAACTAAAATTGTAGAACTCCTGGGAGTTTGAAGTGGCAGTTGAAAGAAATTCCTCACATCCTCTCTCCCCAAAGATTAAGTGCAATCTCAACATGTGGCCTCCACCCAATATAAAACCAGTTTCTGGGGGTTTTTATATTTCATTTTAGCACACGTATACAGTTGCATTCAGTTCCTCCAGGCAGTTTGTAATAACAATTCAAATGCATGCAATTTTAATACCGCCAGCTGAAAAATAAATAAATAAATTCAGGAGCAAGCAGGTAAAATCTGACAAAATGGGGCCTGTAAAATGTTGTGTGGTTGTGCTTGAACAGACCTCTGCCCTGCGACACTTTTTTTGTGTGTGACTTAGCAAGCAAAATAGAGACCCTCTAAGATAGCAATAGCACTTAGACTTATATACCGCTTCATAGTGCTTTTACAGCCCTCTCTTAGCAGTTTACAGAGTCAGCCTATTGCCTCCATCAATCTGGGTCCTCATTTTACCCACTTCGGAAGGATGGAAAGTTGAGTCAACCTTGAGCCGGTGAGATTTGAACTGCCAAACTGCAGCTAGCAGTCAGCAGAAGTAGCCTGCAGTGCTGCACTCTAACCACTGTGCCACCTTGGCTCTTCAAAGATGTTCAATAGGCACAGCAGCAAGGAGGATTTTCCCCAAGCCATATTTGGTGCAGGTGACTTGCGACCAGTTGACCCCAAAATTTCCATTGCTAACAGTTATAAAGTGAGTTTTGCCCCCATTTTACAACCTTGCTTGCCACAGTTGTTAAGTGAATCTGGCTTTCCCACTGACTTTGCTTGTCAAATGTTTGCAAAAGGTGATCACATGACCCCCGGTGGCTCTGCAACTGTCATAAGTACATGCCAGTGGCCAAGCGTCCAAATTTTGATCACATGACTATTGAGATGTTGCAATGGTTGTAAATGTGAAAATGGTCATGAGTCACTTTTTTCAGGGCAGTTGTAACTTCAAGCAGTCACTAAATGAATGGTTGTAAATCGAGGATCACCTGTGTTCCTGGCAAGGTGTGATGAATAATTCCCTCCATCAGTTATTAATAAATTGGTACGGGAGAAAGATGGTTCCGACTTATATTCTGGTTCTAAACTTTGGGTTTAAGCAGAAAAATTATGGTAGAGCCATTGAAATGGAGTTGGTCTTCTTCTTGTGCCATATCCATCATTGGACATTGGTGAGCATGTTGGCGATCCTATTATTATCAACAGCCGCACGAAAAAGTGCTGTTGAGTTTTGTCCAAACCAATCCTTTAGATTTTGAAGCCATAATGTTGTTCTTCTGCCTGGACCTCGTTTGCCTTCAATCTTTCCCTGGAGGATTAAGTGAAGGATGGCATATTTTTCTGGTGTTGCATCACACATCCAAAATCCAACTTCCTCTTTCTTATGGTTTTGATGATTTCCGTTGGCTTTCCCAGGTGGTTTATCACCTCCTCATTTCTGATTTTGTCAACCCAATTTATATGTAACCGTTGGTCTTCATCCAGAAGAAAAAAAAAATTTTTTTAAGATAACTTTTCACTTAAACATCATTTTGTGGCAACTTTCAGCTTCAGATTTGACAACCCAATTTGTCACTTAATCAGTCTTTGTGGCTCTTTTATGGTCGATTGAAGATTCTAGCCAAAACATTCTAGCCAGAACACATCTGTTCTTTTATTTCTTTCAAGGGATTCAGACCTCTTCCCGTAATGATACAGGACCAGGTCACCCCACCCCATTCCACCACCACCCCCCATCCTGTGCTCCAAAAGCAATATTTTGTTACCAAGGCAAACGTTGGGGAGGGGGGGGGAAACTGAATTATCTGCCAAATGTATTTAGTTGCAGATGTTTAGACATCTAGAGGGACCGATGATGTTCAAAGTTGCACATCATGGTTTAGACTAGAGGTGTCTAACCTTGGCAGCTTTAAGACTTGTGGACTTTCAACTCCTAGAATTCCCCAGCCAGCATGCCTGACACCCCTAATTTAGACAATCTGTATGGTAACATTGGACAGAATTCTTTAACCTCTGCACTGGATTTTGAACTCAAATTTCAATATCTCTGGTGGTGTCAGCTACATCAAACAGGGATAGCATCAGGTGTGGGCTGCTGGAGGTTCGCAAGGGTTCGGGAGAACCTCTAGCTAAGATTCTGTGAAGTTCAGAGAACCCCCAAATCCCACTCCTGGCTGGCCCCGATCACCCCTCCCCTCCCCTCCCAGGAGTCCCCACGCAGCCCATTTTGGATGCAGGTAAGTGCAGGGCATGCTCAGAGGCTTGGGGAAGGTGAAAAATGGCCTACCGGAAGTTTGGGAAGGCCAGAACCAGAGGGCCTCCGGAGCCTGGGAAGGCCATTTTCGCCTTCCCGGAGGCTTGAGAAAAGCCTCTGGAGCCCGGGGAGGGCAAAAAGCCTCCCCACCCCCGCCGTGGTACAGGAGGCCAACTAGGCCATGCCCACCATGGCCACACCCACCCAGCAACCGGGCAGAGAATCCTTTGCTAAAATTTTTGAAGCCCACTCCTGGATAACATCCATATGTGTCTTTTGTCAAAACTCTGTTCTGTTAAGGAAGCCTTTTCTTCCATCAGCCTTCACCAATGTAAGATATATGTGGTGTCTTCTTTAGCAAACATGAGAATTGTCCTAAAATCACACTGACTCTGTTTTTCTACAGGAGCCTGACACCTTGGTAACCATCAACCGAGGGGCCCTGATTGGACTCCTCATCGTAGCGGTGGCTGTTGCCATGGTGATTATCATCAGCCTCCTGATGGTTCGCCGAAAGCCATATGGGACCATCAGTCACGGCATTGTTGAGGTACCTTTGGGGGGAAAAAAATAAGCTATCTGCTTTTGGGGTCCAGGCAAATTTGAGAAGAATCCAAGACTTCATAAAAGTTTTTGAATGCTTTCACCCACACCAGGTTTTCTCCGCTCTGTTTATCTATCCGGGGGCAGAGAGCATTGCCTTCTGTTCTGATGCATTGCAGAGATAGAAAGCACATTTTTATTTATTTATTTTATTTATTTGTTTTAATTTGTATACCGCCCTTCTCCAGCAGGACTTAGGGCGGTGAACAGCCAGAATAAAACAGAACATACAAAATTTAAAAACAGTTTAAAAATAATTAAATATTTTGGCCGCGATTTAAAACAACCCAATTAAAATCAATTAAATTTAACCAAAAACATTGGGATCAAGCCAGCCCATGGTGGCTTCCTTAGAGCTGCGGCTATGGTAGCTTTCTTCTTGGCGCATTGTTCTGCAGACACACAGCAGAAGAGATGCCATTAAATGATATCAACAAGAAAGGAATGCGACCTTAGATAAGGGCCCAATGAAAAGCATTTCTGAGAGTCGGGGAAATTGACGGGGATGGTCTTAGGGAAACACCCAGCCAGGCAGCAAGGAGGTCTCAAGTGAGGAATTAGCCTCCAATCCCCACACAGGTGTAAGACATCCAGAACTGACTTCCCCTTAAGGCAAAGGCTGGCAGTCCGGGGAGATTCCTGTATAGTCAGAGCATAATGAAGTAGTTAGCTTGAAGCCTATGCATGTGGATTTGGTTATTTGTGCCTGGCAGATGGTACTGGCATATGATAATCATCATCATCATCATCTTTTAATGACCCCATAATCTCTTGTGGGGTGGAGTCTGGGCAACTGAATGGAGCTAGCAGAGTGTTTTAATGGCCGGATGCTCTTCCTGTCACCAATGCGGAGTTTTGTGCAGCAGGTATATTCTCAGTGTGCCCAGAGAGAGAAATATCTGCCTTTACCTAGGCGGATGTGAGGCGAGAGCATCACCTCTAGGCCACCGCACCACTCTAGATGATGATGATGATGATGATGATGATGATGATGATATCATTATCCTATTGCTTTGCATATACATGGAGAGCTTTTGCATGGAAGATGAATTCCTTGGCCAAAGAAATCACACTTGGCCAAAGAAAGTATTCAATTCAATTCCTATCCTTAAGAACTCTACTGATCAACATTCCGAGTTCCGGGCATGTTGGTAGAAGCTCGATGGAGGCCCATTGCTTGACTTTAATTAACCCTCTTTTCTTTTCTTTTCTTTTCTTTTCTTTTCTTTTTTTTTTGTTCCCCTTCCGGCAGGTGGATCCCATGGTTAGCCCGGAGGAGCGGCAGTTGAACAAAATGCAAAACCATGGCTATGAAAACCCCACATACAAATTCTTTGAAGAGATGAACTGAGTTCCTTGGGGCTGGGGCTTGTGGCATGACCGGGGTGGTGGGCATGACCATGTGGATGGAGGGGTTGGCATGAAGAACGGGAGGAGGGTGTTTTCCACTCAGAGCCCTTCTCTTTTTCTATGCCCCGTCTGAGCTTCGCTCCTACCACCTCATCCGCCTTCTTTTTGTTCTTCCATTTGCCATCCTGCTTCATATTTTCTGGGTTTTCTAGCTATTGCTATTAGCCTACTACTTGCCATTTCTCCCACTTCTTCCATTTCACTTCTCAAGGTCTAAAATGCCTGTATCAACACACGCATCATGGTTGCGTTCACACAACACGCTTAACCAGCTTTCTTACAAACCTAGGGGCTACCTTTGCTGAAGCACTCGGCTTGATTCATTTTAATCTTGCGTTGTGTTTTTTTTTTAGGGCTTAGCATGTTGGGCAAACACATCCGATTCATTTTCAGATTTGATGTACTGTGGAAACCCAACCGCATTGGTTAATTCAGTCATCTAGTTCAGCATGTTGTGTGAACCGAGGCATTCCCACCAAGCTGCCAGCATCAGGTTTCAACTCTTGTATTTTAAGCCAACTCATCTCAATGGGTAAACTGCATGTTGTGGAGAGAAACAGTTGAATCTGCAGACTCAACATGCAGTTATGGAGGCACCAAATGTCACACCATACACCCTTATAACCTGTATGCTCCAATTAGTAACCAGTGCTCATTGTGCAACTTTCACACGTGCATCTTCCTAACTCACCTGGGGCCAAATCTTATGTTAAAATGACAGCCCATAACTCAGTATCCCCACAAAAAACACATCATCACCAAGCCCCTAGAGACACTCATCATGTGGTTTTCCACAAAGCAGCAGACCCTACATCATGGCACACATTTGTAACTCCACTTTGCAGGATTCTGTTGAAAAATGGAACACTTCCACCATACCTGTCAGACAAGGGTTACCATTGTACGCTAGAATTGCCCATTGCTAACCTAGCTTGCCTCTGGCATCGAAACCCGACTCCACCTTCACTTGCTTGCCTTTTTCTATCTCTGTTTATCTTCTGCTTCTTTACTACACTGAACTCTTCACTCCTTGCACCTAATTTATTGGAAAGCCAGCTAAAGGCTGAGTAGATTGGGAGAAGATAGCATCCATCAGCACTTTACTTGACTAGTTTGGAGAGGGGAGATACAAAGATTGAAGCTCTTTTTCTACACAGACACATCTGTTCCTTCCACTTCCCCCCTCGCACTACGTAGAGCATAAAAAGCAGGTTTGCTGAAACAGACTTTGGCTACGTTCACACAGTTCAGTTAACCAGTCCAGTTACAAACCTAACAGCAGCTGAATGCACACAATATGCTAAGCTGAATTTAAGTTGTTGGTTTATATTTCTTTTTGGTAGCTTAACAAGTTGTGTGACTCATCATTTTACGGTTTGGTGATTTGCGCAAGCCCCCACCCCCAAAAAACAGGTTAATTCAGGAACAAAATTAAGCTTCTTGTGTGAGCACAGCCCATAAGGCTGATCCTTCTCCCGGCCCAGATATTCTGAAGCTGGGAAGTTAAGTTCCATTGTAGGGCTAAGCTCATAAGCATATATGCTTCTTTGTTGTTGTTTTGTTTCTTACATTGGAAAGTTTTTCTTCCAGTAGCAATTTGCCACATGTCTTGATCACTTTGCAAAAGTATCTTCTGAGATCAACCATCTCAGCAAACCCAAATGGGGGAAGGTAGGGGGCCAATTGGACCATCTCTGGTGCCATCTCTGCCAAATGATCTGTAATTCCTAGCAACTACTAGACGGAATGGTGTGTGGAGTAATAGTCCTATTGCTGCCTTTGGACTGAACCATTTTGCTATGGCGGGGGGAAGGGAGTTGGACCAAGGAAGATACCTTTACTACCAGGGTTCCTGAGATCACTTAGAAGAGGTAACCTTAGAGATGCTTTTATCTTGGTTCCCCTTAAGCCATAATCCAGCCTTCTCCAATCTGGGTGCCCCAGAATCCCTTAGCCAACATTGCTGAAAACTCTGGGAGTTGAAATCCACACATTCTCGAGGATGGCCAAATTGGAGAACCATCAAAATTTGGAAGGGACCATTCAAACCTGCTGCGTGCAGAAAACTCACACCGAAGCATCCCTAACAGATGATGATAAAACCTATGCTTAACTACATCCAGCAAATGCGAACATTAGCACCTCTTTGGTGAGGCTGGGATAATTAGTTTGGACAGGCATAGAAATCACTTGGGCTAAGAACCACATTGGAGAGAGAAATGGGATCCATTCTTTTTTTTTCATGTTCACCTAGTGAAGAAAGTTATTTCCAGACTGAAAGATCTGCAGGTGTGGGAGGCCCTCATCCCTCACAACCGGCCTACTCCATCTGTGAGAAAAAAAGAATGTCAGGATTTCTGCCTTGAATGTCTTCTGTGTTTCATAGTTACCTTGTCATGCCCTGTCCTGTTTACCATTTAGATCTTGTTCGTTTTTAAGCTGAGGTTTTTTGAAATCGAAAGGCAACGTCAGAAAGACAAGGCAGGAGATGGAATTCAATTGCCAGCCCTCCCACCAAACTAATAAAATATTGTCACTTCTCTAAGCATGGTGCTGGACCTGTATTTTTCAATGAAATGAGAATATTCGGGGGCTGGAGGTGGCTGGGAATTGGAAATAAATTGAGGCAGAAAAGGGAGATATTTGTCTACTTGCTAGAAGGATGCAGAAGAAGTTTAAAAGAGAACTTCAGAAGACCCAACTAAGTTCTCACAAGCATTTGGGGTCTTTTTCAAGCTAAACAGTACGTGACTGTCATGACTTTAAGGAAACGTGATATATCTAAAGCTTTTGCACTTACACAATTTAGCTTTCCTGTCCAGATGTAATGATCGCTTCATTGAGGAAAAACCTGCATACGTTATTAAGAAAACACCAGACACATAAAAAAAATGTTTAGCTGATTTTGCAGCAAAAAGTGTGACTGTTTGAAAAAAGGTTTAAAATGGGTGTACCTGGAGAAAAAACATGAAACACATTTTTCACTGACTGATTGCCAGATTCTCAATATATAAGTGTGTGTGTGTGTGTGTGTGTGTGTATACATACATACATACATACATACATACATACATACAATACATACATACATACATACATATGGGTTTTCTATTGAAGCAACCTGACCTACCCAATATGGGAAGGAGCATACTGCTTCATTTTTGCCTTTCAGCCCCAATCCAGGAGCCCAGAAAAAACTGAGAAAACTGTTTTGCAACTCCCTATTCTTCAGACATTTACATTCCTATTTCCTTAGCCTGCTTCATAGTTCTCTGGTTTTCCTTTCACCCTTATTCATTAGTGTAAACTTTGATTGCCATAACCAAATCAGAGATTGTGTAAACCTAATTTGAAGGAAATAACCCATGGCAAATTTATGGTTTGGCCAAATCTGAGCTGAGGGAAGATCTCTAAACAGTTGACTAAAAAGTCTTGAAATTGAAATCAGCCTATATCGGTTAAATTATATTCTGGATATCATCTTGAGCAACCTTTAAGCTTTGATACCATTAACATCCAGTCATGATGTATGATGCACCCATCCTTATCAAGTATCATACAATTAGTGCTTTCAAAATCATGTGGGACATGCTAGTTGATGAAGGTAGGTCATATGTTCAAATCCAAATGCCAGACATTTAAAAAAAAATAGCAAATCCTTGCATTTTTCAAAAGGGACACCAGAAAAATGAGCATGTTCCTGCCAAAGAAAGTGATGCCCAATAGGATCATAGGAGGGTGAAATCCAGCAGGTTCTGACAGGTTCTGGAGAACCGGTAGTGGAAGTTTTGAGTAGTTCAGAGAACCAGTAACAGAAATTTTGAGTAGTTCGGAGAACTGATAAATACCACCTCTGGCTGGCCCTGGATTGGGGTGGGAATGGAGATTTTGCGGTATCCTTCTCCTGCCACACCCACCAAGCCACACCACGCACGCCCACCAAGCCACGCCCATAGAACTGGTAGTAAAAAAATTTGGATTTCACCACTGGATCATAGTCTAGCTGTGTGGCACACTATGCAAGCTCTCGGAGAGGATTCTAGGTAAAGAAAGTTTTATAAAAGTCCAGCTCTTCAAATAAAGATGTGGTTTATTCTAAATGATTGCTTCCTCCCCCACCCCCAAAAAAATTGATCTTGAATATTGGGGTTAAATCAGAGACCTCAATACCTCTCCTCAGGTTGTGACGTATAGAACAGTGTCCCACATGTGCTTTTTCAGGAGGCAACTGGACTTCGTTTTTCCTTTGACAACGTTTCACTTCTCATCCAAGAAGCTTCTTCAGCTCTGACAAGATGGTGGGGAATGGAAGGATTTTACATATATCTATCAAATAGCTATGCATATGTGGGATGAACACCCTTCGAATGGTGTGGGAGTATGAACGGATTTTCGGAAAGGTTGCAGACCACAGGAACCATTAAGCACTACTCAGGTGACCCTGAGGACACAGATACACCTCCAAGTGTTTCAACGAGTCTCAAAAAGGATGCAAATGGCCAGCTGCCTGCAAGGAATATAAATCCTTCCATTCCCCACCATCCAGAGTTCCAACTAATTGGAATTTTGAGGAACCTCAGACCTCAGAGCTTTCTTTTGTTGGGGGTGTTCCTTGGAACCTGGACATTATACAGGTCATTCCTGCCAATATTAGTAAAAACAGATTTTCCTAAATGATAGGGAACATACAAACCTTTGCATCATATGTCTGATGATTCATCCATAGACAAGAAAAGCCTGTTTGCAGAGAAGTGACTGGGGTATGTCTGAACAAACATGTCACACTAAGGCTGGCAAAACTCTATATGTGTTTTCAGAGGACAAACATTCAGTATACTGAGAAACCAAGATGGCCTATTATAGTGTTCTCAATCTTGGTGGCTTGAAGATGCATGGACTTCAAATCCGAGAGTTAAAGTCCACACATCTTCAAGCCACCAAAGTTGAAAAATACTCGCCTATTAGATAAAATTATGAAAGATTTGCTTCTCCAAAATAGGCTTTTTCATCCTGGTGTTTTTCCAAATTGTTGGAACATGTAGGATGTTCACCTCAATGAGGCCAAGGCAACTTTAAGTCTTGTGGACCAACTCCCAGAATTCCCTAGTCAGTATGGGGAATTCTGGGAGTTGAAGTCCACAGGTCTTAAAGTTACCAAGGATGGACGTGCCTGCTTTAAAGTCTTGGTTCCTATAGGTCAGGGGTCTGCAACCTTAAGCAATCAAAGAGCCATTTGGGCCCGTTTCCCACAGAAAAGAAAACACCGGGAGCCACAAAATCTGGATGGGCGTGACCAACTCAATGTCACTCACTTCTACCAGTCACATGATCCCCCCTAGCCACGCCTACCCAGCCGGTCATTAGGGCAGAAAACCCAGTTGTTAAAAAACACCAGGAACCACAAAACCCTTTTCACATCTCTCTCTCCCCTCCCTCCCTCCCCCCCCCTCTCTCTGTCTCTCTCTGTCTCTGCCCTGGCCGCTTCTCCATCCCCCACTTTCTGTTGCCCTTACTTTCTCAGGCCAGGCGAGCAGTGACTGGGAGGGGAGGGCGAGGGGCGGGGCCAGCCAGTGGTGGGATCACCTGACAGGGAGCCACAACAGAGGGCCCAAAGAGCCGCATGTTGCTCCGGAGCTGCAAGTTGCTGACCCCTGCTATAGGTCTACTCCAGTGGTGGGTTGCCCCCGATTCGGACCGGTTCGCAAGAACCGGTAGTAAAACCGGCAAGAGGCTCCGTCTACTGCCCCGGACGTTGTCATAGGCGATCTGCGCATGTGCAAAAGCTTCTGCGCATGCATGGAAACAAGGCGCATGCAAAGCGAGCGCACACGTGTGATCCCGTTGCGAACCGGTAGTAAAGGTAAGTAGAACCTAGCCCTGGTCTACTCCTTATATTTTACTAGTTCTAATTCTTGAATAAATTAAAGGGAAGAAAAATAGTCGTGTCTGAGGTTATTGACTATATTTCCGCCTCTTACACATGGGACCCTAATTTTTTCCCCAATAAATCTATTCACTTTAAAGTGAGTCTGAGTTTTATTATTTTGATTTTCACTTTCAAAAAGACAGGAAACAAATACCGTAAATAAATTAAATGTTAATCTCATGAGAGGAGCACTTTATTTGGCTATGAAATATCTTCACAGTTAGAATCTCAATATATTTGTTCCAACTCAATGTAAAAATTTAGCTGTTCGCCAAAAAACCTGGAAAGAATTTTGAGTTGATGAATATTAAATTATGTTTGAAGAATTCCCTCTCTCAACGCATCCCCTCCAAAGTCCTTTTTTAAATAGTTCTTAAATTGCCTTACAGAGGACAATAGGATAATGTCACTATGTAGTCACTAGTGTAAAGTGGGGGGAGAAATTAATTTACTTGGTGCTGGTAGAAAGTATGATGTTTTATTATATAGAGAACTCGTTCTTGTATGTTGCCCAGAGGTTGATGATACAGTATAAAATTACTGTTAATACATAATAAAACTATGCATTTGGATTTTTAATAGCATATGTTTAGCTGTCTTCCCACATTAAAAAAGTAACTTGAGATAACAAATACGGGGTGGGGGAGTGGAATTAACTTGTTATCTATCCTTCTCACATATTCAAAAACTGAAATGGACAAGTATATATTGATTAAAAATAACTAACTGCCTCACTTTTTAAGGAAGGAAACCAACAGCTCTTCAGATGTGGCTAACCTTACAACTTACAACATCTCCTCCTAATAGAAATGCTAGCAAAGATTTCTGGGATTGGAAAACAGGTTAATAAAATTTCTTTTTGAGAGCTTTTCCTTTGACAGTATGAAAGCTAATAACACAAACTAGAGAAAGATAAGGAACTGTTAGCTGGCAAATCTAACTTGTTGCATTTCTTGTCAACCATTTTCTATCTAGCTATTAATTATCTCTTACAGGTCTTGCCCAGGCTTTTAATTTGTCTCTCAACCCTTTAGAATTTGCTGAGTTCACACACAAGCAGTGGTGAGTTGCCCCCGGTTCACACCGGTTCTATAGAACCGATAGTAAAACCAGCAGGAGGCTCCACCCACCGACCCCGACGTCATCAAAATGCTTCTGCGTGCGCGCGGCCCCACTGCGAACCGGTAGTAAAGGTAAGTAGAACCGACCCCTGCACACAAGCTATTGTTTAATCCCCTTTTCAAGCAAACCTTAGAACCTAGGTTCGCACATAAAAGCGTTGCTTCATAAACCACAATCACCTGGATCAAAATTTGCCTTTAAATGAAAGAATTTTTTTTTTTAATTTTAGTATCACTCATTTTACCCTTGGTTAACTGAACTATGTTTTAATTAACCCATTTGGAAAGTTCCACAGCAAACCAAATCATAAATGCACACAATGGGTTTGCGTAATACACTAAATTAAACTGTTCCGTAAATCATGCAAATTCTTAACACAATGTATGAAATGAGTCCCCGTTTCCTTCTCTATCTGCCTTGTAGACCTCAAAAAAAAAAAAATCTTTAAGGGATCATTCTTTCTCTTCTATTGAATCTCCCTATGCTGGAAATGATAG